TCATATACTTTATTCTTTTCATTTAATAAATCTTAAATTAAAAATAGTTTGCTTTTATTGTATGCAGTTTAGAAGATGCAGGAAAGCACAAAGAAGCAGATAAAACTCATCCACACTCAATTTTTATAACTTGCAGATAACCACATTTATATTTTTCTTCTAGTCTTTTTTACATGTCTACAAAACAAAATTAGGAATATACGGATTTTGGTAGATACAAGCTATACAAAATTCACCTAACTGCCTGCCTGGAGAAGAATCACAGGGTAAGGAAAGGGGAAGAGAAAAATGTACAGGTCCTTGGTTCACAGTGTTCCTACTACACTAACACTGAATCACCCCTGCACAACGAGAGGGCCAATCTTTTTTGGATATCACTGACTTATTTGGAAGGGCTTCTGGGAAAATATGTGCTATTAATACCTTATCATGGGTATCAATTGTGGATACCTTTGACTAGACGGAATGAGACTGAGAAAGTTCATTTAAAAAATCTTAAGCATGTATTTTTCAGGGCAGAGCCAGCCAGACTCACGGTGCAGTATGATTAAGGAGGGTACCCAGTCATTAGCTTGGGGCATGTTGGGTCGGGGGTGAATATCCACATGCCATCCAAATAGACTGAAATCTCAGATTCCAAATTGAAACTTACCCATGTTAGGGCATAATCCCTGGGGGTCAGATCAACTAGTGGTGGGCACTTCTGGAGGATTCCTTTGAGGATTAGGTAAAAGGATGTCCCCACATCCAAAATACTTTCTTTCCCACATGCAGCATGTTTGCCCAGGCTCTTGGCACAGGTAAGTTCAGGCAGACTTCATCACCCTCTAATGACGCTATTACTACTTCCATTTTACCGATGAAGGAACTGAGGCTGGTGGAGATTAAGTAACCTGCCCAAAGTCACGTGGCTGGGAAGTGAATTCAAATCATTGTGATTCCAAAGCCCATCTCTTGAGATTGGCTAGCTTTTAACCACAGCTCCTGGGTGCACAGCTAAACCTCATCTCCTACTCTCTTCGGCAGTTAGATGGGGCCGTGTGACAGAGTCCTGGCCAATGGCATATGGATGCCACTTCTAGGTTTGGTCTGTGGACACTGTCCATATGCAACACTCCATATTTTCTCTTACGCTATGTGATGGCTAGATGCCAATGTCCAAGACCTAGAAAGTCACATGTTGAGGATAGCAGAGGCTCTATCAGCCTGGATCCCTGAGTGACTTATGGAGCTAAGCACCTTCTCTGGCCATCAACTTCCCTTCACTCAAAGACTGTTGAACTTGATGTGAGGGGGAAATAATTAGTAAGTATCATTACCTTAACTAAAATCACATCACAAGTAAGTGACAGAAGCAGGATATGAGCCCAGTTGTCGTTACTCCATAAACCTGTGTTCTTTTCACTGTACGGTCCATTCTGCCTCCTTTTGCGGTGAACTAAACTATGGAGATTGTATCCTTCCACATGGGTTGCTTTAAAAACAGAAAGTTACCCAAGGAAGTTCTAATTCCAACATTTTCTCTCTACTAGTCTTTATGCCACAACAACAGAGCCAATTATATTGTGTCAAGCTGGATTTTCACAATTTATATTGATTTTTCAGGATAGTAATGACCAAGCAAAAGAGCCTGTCATTGGTGTACATGTGCATGACTTCCTCTGGACTGAAGCTCCGGTCAGACTATCTGCAACTCATCTTACTGGCACTGAAAACCCTTCTTTGCCTGTCTTCACCTACCTCGGCGAACTTCAACGCCACTGTTTGCCAACAAACAAAACAACCCCACTGTTTTCTACCCTCTTCTCTCATCTGGTTCTTCTTAATGCTGCCTGTGTGTGTTCTATGACCTTGCTCATGCTGTGTTCCTGACTGGGCCCTCCTCATACTCTGAGACATAACTCCAATTCCCTCTCCTCGGAGACTGTTTCCCTGGTGATTCCTGTCCCCACTGATGTGTCATTTTTAAAAAATATTTAAGAGATGCACTGAACATTTTGACATTTGATGTTGTTCTGCCTTATTTTATTCTTAATTGCTTTTTATGTGGAGCTTTATCTTCCCTTTAAGATTTATACATTCTCGAAGACTCTAACTCTAATGTGTACAATTTGGCAACCAGCATAACATCTGACATGGTATCTTGCAAATAGAAGATGCTCAATGATTTGTGTTTGAATGATTCAAAGAATGAAAGTAATAGTGATTTCTTTTGTTTCTTCCAAAGTGCCCAGAATGATCCTCAATACAGTTTTTTCTTCCTCAGTACAGTTTTTGGAACAATTGTTGGCTGAATTCTATCTTCATCATTTGGGGCCTTTCCTGAGGCATTTTTGGGTATGAGCTTGAACCATGGTCCTAATTGGTCTAAAGTGACCTCCAAGCTTCTATGATGGTGGTTCTCAAACTTCAGCATGCTGAGTGCCACCCCAAGAGGTTTTTTCAGGACATCTAAGGTGGGCCCCAGAGTTTATATTTCTAATAGCTAACACTGATGCTGCTGGTCTAGTAATCACACTTTGAGAACCACTGGCCTACTGCCATTACAAAGATACCATTTCCTACTGTTCTCTCTCTTTCTTACTCTACTCCAGCTATACTGACTTCCTTGTGGTTCCTTAAAGATAGCAGGTGCTCCCCTGCCCCAGGGCTTTGCACTTACTGTTCCTTCAGATCCTCATGTACTTGCTCCCTCACCTCAGGTCGTTCTTCGTATGTCACCTTCTCTAACCACCTGACTTAAGATGGTGAACCTCCTGCTCACCTCACAAACACACATTCACACATACACATACTCCCTATCACATTCCTTTCCTCTAATCTTTTTCTCCATAGCATTTATCACCATCTGCACATATGTTGTGCTTGTTGTTTACTATCTATCTCTGCCCCTAGCCCCACCAGAATATAGGATACGTGAGGGCAGGAATTCTCATCAGTTTTGCTCATACTGTATCCCAGAGGTTAGAACAGTATTTGGCACACAGTAAGCACTCAAAAGTGTTTCAGCTGATGTTTTAACTGGAAGACAGCAGGCACCACAGCCCTACCTGTTTTTAGGCCATAAACCATAAAGAAAGCTCTACTACATAAACCATAAAGAAAGCTCTACCTACTGCTGAAACAAAATAGGAATGATTAACTTGGTATTCATCCTGTCCTGGCTAGTCGAGGGGCCAGAGTTGAAGGAGCAGAAGAAGATGTTATTAAACCTCCAAGGCACTCAGGACAGGTCATTGCACTGTCCTCAGTTTTTGCATCTACAAGTTGAGGCGGTTGAACAAAATATCTGCAATATTGTTTCTAGCTCTAGAGCTCTCTTTTTTAAATCTTACTGTATATCTACATGTCACACAAAGGGAAGGCTTAGGACACTAGGACCAGTGAGAAGCTCCTTTCCATCCTGTGGCTATTATCAACAATTTCACCAGAACAAAGGTCACAAAATTCTACTGAGAATCTTCTCCCAATCAAGGCTACAACCCCACAGCTCTGCTGTCTTTTGGTTTTGTGTAGAGAAAATTTCTTTGTCCTGGATCCTAACTGGTGCCAAACCCAATATTACTACATTTGTGTTGCCTCAGAAGTCAACGTGTCCCAGGGCTTCTCAAACCAGTTCAGAGAGGGGAACATCTTAGAATGTTCTTATGTTTGCTGACCTTGATACATGGAAATTTTAACATATACATATAATAACATACAAAATTTGGGGCTAAATTATAAACCGTCATATATGTGGATTCCAGTAGAGACAAACAGTAGTGGATGCTGATTTTTTTAAAGATTTTTAATTAATTAATTTATTTGAGAGAGAGAGAAAGAGAGAGAGCACAAGCGGGGGGGGGGAGGGGAGGGCAGAGGGAGAGGGAGAAGCAGACTCCCTGCTGAGCAGGGAACCCCATGCAGGTTTCCATCCCAGGACCCTGGGATCAGGACCTGAGCTGAAGGCAGATGCTTAACTGACTAAGCCACCCAGGTGTCCTGTGGATTCTGAGTTTTTAATAAAAAGTTTATGGCTGACAAATTTTAAGTTGAGAAAATTTGATCTGATTATTTGATCTTCTTTTCTGTAAACTGAGAAGCACTAGCTCATCACCTGCATTTTAGAGCACGGGGTGGAAGGTTAGTGGTTGGGGCATAGGCTCTACACCTTACTTGTAAGACCTTGGGTGAGTTATTTACCCTCTCTGTGCTTCAGTTCCCTCAACTCTACGATGGGGATGATGATGATAGCACCTAACCCCTATGGTTATTGAGAAATCCAAATAAAGGGGTACAAATAAAACTCTTCACCTGAGCCAGGTACCCAACAAGGGCTTGACCAACATTGGCTATTATTATTCATCGCTGAAGGCCAGAGTGAGGCGCACTTAGGAAAGGATTAGCTTAGGCAAGGAGAGAGAAAAAATAAGAGCATTTGAGAAAATGGAAGAATTAACAAGAAGGGGGAGGAACAGATCCAGATTTGTCTCTAATATGTACACAAAGCCATTGGAGAAGCTATATGTGTTTATTTGACTTGGATTTCTGTTAATTTAAACCTTTTAAAAAATCATTTATCTCTCCTTACACAAGGCTTCCTCTGGAGGGTAGAGCCTGAGGTCGTTGACTGTGGAGGCCAGGGTGCAAGGGTCATGTGAGCACTCAGAGTTTTGAGCAAAAGGCTGTTTCAGGTGCTCTTCCAGGTTATCTATCTCCATGCAACAGAAATATCAGGGGCCTGCAACGTAAGGATTTTCCAAGAGTAATATTTCAAATTGAGGGGAAAAGTCTCAAGGTTTTTTGTTTTTGGTCTTGTTTGTTTTACAGTAACTTCTTAAGACCAAGGGCCGATGAAAAGAAGGGGTGGAGGGAGCCAAAATCACAGCGCTCTTGGTGGGGGGGGTGGGGGGTGGAGGGGGCGCACCGGGGTCTGTGTCCCCTTTCAAGGGAATCTGCACTTTCCAAAGCCTGTTGGCGCCCTCGGACGGCTTCCCAAGCACACTGTGTTTGGGGTTATTGTTTCCAGTGTGCTCAACCTTTCCTCAGATGTCACTGAACTGTGCTTTGGGTTAGCCTTCGGGGCATTGACCTGTCAGCAAATAGATAATGTTTTCAAAAAGCTTGAATTCTGTTCGGTGTTTTATAATGATGAAAACTGAAGCTGGAAAAGGTTGTAAAACCCTTTGACTCTCCACAGTAGAGTCTCTTGTTTCTTTGGCTTCCTCAAGTTCACGCTCACAGGTAAGTGACTTCTATTCTCTATAGCATTGAGGACTACAGTCTGCAAGTCCATGTCCTCCAGCTTCTACTTTGTGGGGTGTTGTGTTTCTGGTTCGCTAAAGGCTGTCCTCTTGTGATGCGATAATACTGTAATGCTCGGGTAGGAACTCGCAGAGTACATTGATACTTTCATAATGTGATGTACAGTGCAGATGGCTCTTGGTCGCTGTCTCATTTATAGCAGTACCGCTTTATGCATCAGCTGTCTTGAGAATCTGTGTGTGTGTGTGGTGTATGGGGTATGTGGTGTCAATGGGTGAATGGACCAAATAATCTGCCCGAAGTAAAAAAGCCAGTGAACTTTTAAATCTTGGCTTTATGAAAGCACAGTGCTATTTGCACAGATAACCACAAATCCCATCCCAGAAAGCTGGTGCTGGTTTAATAGAGAACGATACCGGCTTTCTCTTTTCTCCAACACCATGCTCATCTCCTCATCCTCCCATTCTCCAATAATTTAGATACTAAAAAATATGAGCTCTGGATGCGTGGCTAGAGTGGGGAAAGGTTGGTTTCTAGAATCTACGTCCCCGTGTTAGGTTTCCCTAGCTAGTAAAAATCACATGTTGCTGATGATTGGGACATCTCTGAAGGATGTGGCTGCCGATCAAATATCGGATGATATCCGGGAATAAAGTGTGCTATTTACAAGTGTTTTGAGGGAAGACTAGCTTACTAGACATATTAGAGACAAATTATAATGACTGCACCCCAAACTCTTAATATTGGGATGTAATAGTGGTTATCATTAAACTTGTAAAGTATTAACTTATTTATAGGCTCTTGTTTGATAGAAGTTCTTTCTGTGTGCAGCCACACTCCCACCTCAGCCCCATGCGCCCCCTACCCCTCCAGACTTGGGTACCCTCCTCCTCTGCTCTGCAACCCTCTGCTGTTATCTCCGGAGCCCGCATTTCCCTGCCTGGGAGTTAACTGATTATATGCCCTGCCCCCCACTTGATCGTAAGGCCCTTGAATAATTTGTGTGTCCTCCTACTAACAGTAATGGTGACAAATATTTGCTGATGAATGCTGGAAATAGATTAGGAAGTAGTGTAAGGGAAAAAAAAAAACAACCCTGCTCACTCCGTGGTTTTAAAAGACACTGAAATTGCTAAAAAAAATAAAAAGAAAAAAAATGCCCAAGTTCCATTGCAAGAATTAAGTGTTAGAGTTGGGGGTTGGTTTGCACAGATGGGAAAACTGTTCGTGTAGAGACCAAGAAAAGCTGGGAGTGACGTCGACCTTAAACTCTTTTGTTTGAGAGCAATTCTTTAGTCCTCCATTTCATTTCATTGCCTTGCCCATCAGCTGCAGCCCTCGGGGCGAAAGGGGCCTCATTTTTATCCTAGCCTAACTAATATTACTTTCCTCCTTTTAATGATCCTTGGGAGAAACAAATCATTTGCTGGGTTTAATAATATCAAAAGTGCGCTACTTGCATTTCTACATGTCAGCGGTGAAAGGCATTTTCAGGGCTTAAAAAAAAAATCAGAATTTGTGGCTTAGGAGGTGACTTTCAAATTCAAGAGGACCAGGGGCAGTTCTGCTTGTCTCTCTGAGCAGCCCAGGGAAGGGGGAGCATGTGGTGCTGGCGGCCTTGAGAGCTTTTACAAAAGGAAAGGCCTCACAAGAGAAAAACCAAGGAGAATATTCACAGTGTGCTCTCGGCTGGGGTGAAGGCCACTCCACCCCTGAGCCTGGCCTTGTACCCCTCGCTATCCCTCCAGCATCTCAATGGCTGGTAGGGCATTTAGATCTTCCTTATTATCTTGGTCTGGATGAGACAAACCTCAGCCTCTTCCTCCTGAATTCAGTCGAAGCAAGATCAACATGTTTCAAAGATAGTATTCGGGAGAAAATGAGATGGAAAGCAGAACAAATCTCCCCAGAGACAACTGAAAACATGAAACCCTGGTAGAGTAGAGAACCGACAAGAGCCTAAAGTGACAGGAGCTGGGCACTGATGGCTTAGCCGTGGGGCACCACAAGTCCATTTCATTTGGTCGCCTCAGGCCTATCTGCCCGGGAGAGAGATGAACTGTGTGGTCCGTGCCCTGCTAAATGAGGGTGCCCGCTGCCTGGCCTGGCAGAATGTTTCACCCTTCCCAACCAGATTTCCTAGTCCCTCTGTGTGTGGGCTCTCAAGTTCCAAGCCTTATCAGAGCATTGGCTTTTTTTAACAAGTATAAAAATGATCATATATTTATCTTGCCTAAAAGTCCTTATTAGTTCCCTTGCCATTGGGATAAGGTCCCAAGTCCTCAGCGTTAAAGACGAGGCCCTGAGGAATCCAGCAGCCACATCCTTCAGAGATGTCCATCCACTTTCCCTCACACTCACTGGACATTCTTCTGTCCTTGAGCCTACGTGCTCTCTCTGGGGTCTGGGCCTTTTCATGTGCTCTTCCCTGGCTGGGATGCTTTTCTCTCTCCTGTTTCCTTGGCTAACTCACCCTCATCTCTTATGTCCCATGCTGAAAATGCATTGGCTCCAAAGCCTCCCCCAGCTCTCTAGACCAGGGCAGGGCCTCTGCTTGAGGGTTTAGGAGATGCTCATGCTATCCCTTCACTCACAATCACCAGGCTTGTCATTTCTTATGTGGCACCTGTCTTCTCTGCCACACTGTAAGTTCCCCAAGGACAGGGCAGGTTGGAGGGCTGGTGCTCCATATGATTTTTAGGTTGGGTAAATCAGGCAATATTTCTCCTCAGGCACCAAGCTGTCCTGGACTGACCTCATAATACAGAAGTCAGCAAACAGTTTCTGCAGAAGGCTAGAAAATAAATGGTTTAAGCATTGGTGGGTGGGTGGGGGGATGTAAGTATAGTTTCTGTCACAGCTACTCAACTCCTCCATTGTAGCACAAGAACAGCCAAAGACAAAATTAAAACTAATAGACATGATTGAGTTCCAATAAAGCTTTCTTTACAAAAACAGGCAGTGGGCCGAATGCTCCTATTATATTTGTATCTTCAGCCTGGAAGGATTCCAGCTTCTGGGAGAACTATTTTCACCCCTGACCTGTTTCTTTTCTCTCTTCTTTCTCTCCCCTTCCTTCCTTCCTTCCTTCCTTCCTTCCTTCCTTCCTTCCTTCCTCCCTCCCTCCCTCCCTCCCTCTCCTCTTTCTTTCTTTCTTT